TCTGATACCAATTGTTGTGCTTCGGCGCGGAAGCGGTCGAATCACACAATCCAAACAAGAAAGATCACAACCAAATAAACAAGTACAATCACCAAATAACACAAGAGATTTACGTGGTTCGGCAAGTTGCCTACATCCACGGGGCAAGGAGGGGGTAGTTCTTACTATAAGAAATCAAGAGAATACAAATAGAGTTACAAATCTCACCGATCAAACCCTAAAACAAAGCTCTAGATCTCTCACAACTCTCCCACAATTAGATGCAACAATCATCTCTGAAAGACGGCTCAAATTCGTCCTTGCTTAACCCTAACAAATCAGGTTTAGGATTATATATAACTCAGAAACGAATCGGGTCAAAAACCGAAGCCCAGCCCAGAAATCATCGACGGTCGACCGCGCAGGTCTCGCGGGCGACCGCGACGGTCGACCGAATCACAAACCCGAGAGCTAAATCCTTTACAGTCATTCGAAGTCGACCGCGGCGGTCGACTGCCATCAACTCCGAATCCCAGTAAATCTGCGTGCACGTTTGCGGTCGACCGCGGCGGTCGATCGCCAGTCTGTCTGACTTCTGTCTGGCTGATTCTCTGCTTTTTCCTATAATTCTTCAAGAGAAGCGAAGGAGGGAGGAGAGGGAGAGGTGGAGGAGGAGGGGGAAGGAGATTGAGAGGTTAAGGTTTGGGATGAGAGCTGATTTATAACGCTGGAAGCCACGCTGGCAACCACGTTCGCACAACGTGAGGCGTTACGTGAGAATTTTTGTCGGAAATTTGGGTCCGGGCAAATTTGAGGCTCATTTGTCGTCGGAGAAAAAATAATATACCAATATGTTGCCGGGGAAAAAATATATACCATACTGTCACTAAGGGTAAAAAAAATATACCAATTTGATATTTTTGCTCTACTTTTCTTATCCCCATTGACTAATTAGGGGAATGTTAAAATTTGTCTTATTCAACGTAAAATACGAAGAGTGTGATTCATGAGATATAATAAGTGTTATTTTTGAAATTGATTACAATTGCTCACCACCTACCACCTTATAAATAATTAGGGAAAATTGCTTCCAGCCCCCAAAACAACCCAGAACGTGCTCTGCCCCCCCCAAGACTTTTTCAACGTGCCTTTTACCCCCAAAACCGCCCCCGATTTTCTTACAGCCCCCAAAACGAATCCCCAGGCCACCTTCCGTTTAAACACCGCTCGAAATACCCAAAATACCCTTCGCAGCCTGTGTTCGTCGCCCTCTCACGACGGAAACCCATCGTTTCGACTGTAGGCATTAAATGGTGATATGAATGACTTTTTTGGGGGGGAAAATTCCCATTTCCCTCCAAAATTATCATCAGATATTATCACCAGCTATATCCCCCTTCAAGCTAAGTTGTTCCTTCCACTTAATTATCCTCAATAAAAGCCTCTTCGATTCTTCAACCACTCCCTGTAATAAAATGGCGGATGGATCTCTTCTATGCGTAGTAACGAAGGCAAAAAGCAACAAAGGTGGTGACGGTGTATTCGTCGTTATCAAAGAGAATACAGAAATAATCAGCTTGAAATATCGAGTGGCGGAAAGGCTTAAAATACCAATGCAATCTCTTTCACTGAAGTTCATATGCGAAAGGGAAAAGAAATTCAGCATTTCAATTGACAATGACGACGACTTAAATTTGATGTTCGAGTATTGTCGGCGTAATGGATTTACAGACGCGAATTTGTATGCCACCTCCGCTGCGGAATCCTCAACTTCGCAGAACACGCAGACTACGCCGGAAACTGCGTAGGAATTACACTCCAGATTTCCTTTTGAGTTCACTGATAGGTTTTGCCATTAGTTGTTAACCTCATGCATTGGTTGCTTTGGTAATGTGTTGGCTGTCAAGGTTATGTTAAGCACTGGTTGTTAAAGTTATTTGTTGGCTGTTACGTATACTAGTTGGTTGCTAAGTTATGGTGTTTGATGTTAAGTATATGCGTTTGTTGTTAAGGTCACGAGTCTGCCCTTAAGTATAAGGGTTAGTTGTTAAGGATATGTGTAGGTTGTTACGTTTATGAGTTCGTTGTTAAGGTTATCAGTTCGTTGCTAAGGCTATGTATTTTGATTTATACTTCAGGACAATACCGACAGAAAATTCGCGGTGCGCAGATACCCCGTTCACCCAAACCTGTAATGATGAGCGTATTCCTAATGACAACCCCACCGGCGACTCGATCATGCTGCTGGAAGACATGCTTAATCACCAAACAAAGATCCCAACTGAGTGGCACACCTCCATACGTGAAGTTGGTCAGAAATTTGATAGTGCTGCTGAAGTTAGATTAGCACTTCAATACTATTCAATTGCTAAACGGTTCGAGTATGATTTTTACCACAATGAACAAAGACGCATAAGAGTCTATTGCCGATTCAAACACACACATGGTTGCCCTTGGATGTTGTTTGCTTCCCCGCTCAGAAATTCGTCTATCATGTCCATAAAGAATTTCGAGTCTACCCACACCTGCGGTCAACATGGAGCAAATGCTGGCAACTCAAGGGCATCAAGGAAGTTCATTGCTAGCCAAATACAAGCTGTTTTGAAGGTTAGGCCAGATCTTCGTGCGGTCGATATCAAGAACGACATGCTCTCTAATTTTGGCATCAAGATTAACTACAGTAAAGCGTGGTGGAGCAAGGAGACAGCTCAACAGGACCTGTTCGGTGACGATGATGAGGCTTACGATTCACTGAGATGGTCCTTATCTTTTTTATTCTTCTGAAATCACTCTTACCTTTTGGTTGCTAACTATACGTAGTAGTTGTTAAAGTTGGCGGTTCGACGTTAAGTGTACGTGTTGGTTACTAACTATACGTATTAGTTGTTAAAGTTATTGGTTCGTCGTTAAGTATACGTATTAGTTGTTATGTCACTGTAATGGAATACTCCCCGGAGAGATGGGCAAACACGCATTTTCCTGGTATAAGGTAAGATAGCTTGGTCCCGACGTTATTTTGTTACAGCACTGTTATAGTTGTTAAGGTTAGAGTTATCCTACAGTTTTCTGTTAAGGTTAGATTTTTATTGTTATGGTTAGAGTTATTCTGCTAGGGTTTTGCTGTTAAGTTTAGGATATTTGTTGTTAAGGTTAGGCCTTTAATGTTTAGTTTAAGGAATTATTGTTATTGTTAGTGCTTTGTTGTTAAGGTATGGCCATGTTACTTCAAACGTTGCTGAGTCCTTCAACAGCTGGATAAGAAAGGCACGATTGTTGCGAATCTTACCTTTGGTTGAGACCATACGGAAGCAAATAATGGAGCGATAGAGGATCTGTAGCAGGACAAAGTCCTTCACATCTCGGCGATCAGAAGATAGTACCAGCTTCAAGAGCAGGTCCTCCCACATTGCGTCTGGTGGGGCCTCCTTTGGGGGGAGCTTATACTGCTGGAACCCCCCGCCTCGGGTTTGTCAAAGAACTGGACCAAATCCTATTTTTCCTGTCCCGATTGTGGTCAACATGAAGCCCCTCATTGGAGAACCATGTATGCTCCATTACCCACTCAAGGTTGAATGAGCATGGGATCTCTTCACCATCATTCCTATCGGTGAAGACGAATTTTTTTGCTCTTCTTGTCCACCTGACTCAAAATGTGCTCAAAGGTGGGAAGAATCGACGCCAGGTGGGCCAAATTGGACGTAGTGTCTGAATACACTATATTCGTTAGGCCGCAAAATGCCTTGGCCCCATACGCGTCACCAAATTCTGCATGAAGTCGTGATAGGCACCGAAGCTGGCGGTGGGCCGCAACGAATAGCTGGCTTTGCCCTTTTTCTACAAAACAAAAACACAAGACGGAGAGCATTTTTGAGTATAATCAGTAACATAACAGCTATGTGTAAACTTTGCGCGGTAAACCAACAACCTTAACAGCAACCCATAACCTTAACAACAAAAACCTAACCTTAACAACCAAAGCCTAACCTCAAACTAAACAACAACCTTAACAATAAAGGCAGTAACCAACAACCTTAACAACAACCCCACAACCTTATCAACCAAACCTAACCTTAACAACCAAAGCCTAACCTCAACACTAAACAACAACTCAGCAATAAAAGCATAGACCTTGCATGTTAACAGTAACCTCAACAGCTAACAGACCCGTAATTTTGGACCTTCCACCAGACTAAGAGCATTATCAATCAAACCGTAACCTTAACAACATAAAACATTGCGGTAAAAATTACCTTTTGGGTGCTGCCACGTGCTGCTCTTTTTCTCCTCTCTGTAGACCAAGAAGCGCTCTAGTGCATCGTTGGACGCGCCGGTGGTGCGCGTGGTGCCCTCTAGACCTTCGCGGGGCCTACACTTCTATTTTGAGGCCGGCTTCTGGGATGTAGAATGGCTGGTTGCGATGTCCTCTAGAACATCAGCAATCGCAGTTCGAGCTTCAGATTCAGTCCGCACTGCAGTTGTATGGGCTCTTTCTGAGATTTCGAACCGCTGGGCGTAATCGCTTTCGCTGTGGTGCGCATTGAGGTTGGCTTTGGGGGTTGAATCGCGCGCCATTTTGATCCCTTTGCTTTGATTCGGTTTGCGTTGGGGTCGGTTGATTTAGGGCTAGGGTTTTGAATTGGGTTCTGGAGTCGGTTTGCTTGCAGAAGAGAGAGATGACAGGGTACAGACGAGGAGGTAACTCATAACGCGCGGGAATTTTAAACGTAAGGGTATTTTGGGCATTTCGAGCGGGGTTTAAACGACGTTACGCCTGGGGATTCGTTTTGGGGGCTGGAAGAAAATCGGAGGCGGTTTTGGGGGTAAAAGGCACGTTGAAAAGGACTTGGGGGGGCAGAGCATGTTCTGGGCGGTTTTGGGGGCTGGAAGCAATTTTCCCAAATAATTAACTGTTTGTATTAAAAGTTGTGATCGCTCCGCTACTATTTGCTAGCGGAGAGGATCCAAATTGCCATCTGTGATCTATCTAATGATAGATGATTGTAATCTCTCCTCTCTTTTTCTTTTTTTTTCTTTTTTTTTTTACATCTCTCAATTGCTTTTGTTTACAGTGAAGAGAGATACCTGCATCACTATCCTACTCTTGGGTTTACCCACACCTGGGCCCAGATGGACGCATCTGGGTTTTTTCACGGTTCTAAAGTTATGGGCTTCATAAAAATCAGCAGGTCAATTAATTAATCTTTGCCTTCAACTGATGAAAAGTTGAAGAAAATGGCAATATTCACCTCTCCGGCGGCTAAAATCCCTAACCCACCGGCTAATTTCCGAACTCCAAGAAAAGGTATAGCTTCATTTCAAATTTATTCATCGGTGCAGTATTTTTGGCAGTTAACTCATGCGCAAGATCCAATATTTGATGCGTTTCTAGCTATACCATTGAAAAATTTCAAATGGGTAATCTTCAATTTTGACTTTAACCCCCAATTTTCTTTCTTGACCCCTGAATTTCCTCTAATGGGTAATCTTTAGAACTTGATAAATGCAGCTCAATGTCGCTCTAGTTCAACAGTCGCAATGTCTGCTCCTTGTGTTTCCGATGAAATTGAGCAATCGAAGCTTGTGTGGGTGTGGACCGAGAGCAAGCAAGTCATGACTGCAGCTGTTGAGAGAGGGTGGAGCACTTTCCTCTTCCCCTCTGAGCCTCGCTTCAGAGAAATTGCCGAAGAATGGTCTTGTATGATCTCAATGAACTCAAACTAATCAAGTATCAAGTTCTAGTTTTACCCTTATGCTGCATTGAGAGCTAAGCATTGTTATTAGTGAATGTGCTTCTCTTGTTAGTAGTTCGATGAATAAGTGGGAATTCTAAGATGACACAACTTTTTCACTTTCAAAAAGGTTAGGATAAATTTTATAAAATCCTCTTAACAACAAAATTCACCTTAAACTGTCTCACTTTGCTACCATGACTGACACCTTGAGTCTAATGTGTCAAGTGATCCTCAACTGACTAGAAATAGACATTTTTCCTTGGGTCACTAATAAAATCCAGTCAATATCCATTCATTCCCCACTTTTTAAAAAGGGTTATTTTAGACATGTTTCCTTACCAATTAAACTGCGTTAATTGTAGATTGCCAAAGATCAGGGGGGTTCGTGAAACCCCTTAAAGTTCAGGGCGTTTTGCGGAATTTATAATAGAAACTATCAAATGATAGGATCATTCTATTTCTGTTTAATTTAGATTCTTTACTATTTGTATCGATTGGTGATAGGAACCAGAAGGGACTGAGGCAGTAGCCATTGTTGTAGCAGTTACTGCATTTTCTTATAGATTTGCTCAAATGGCTTCTAAATTGTGTTAGCGTGTTCTTTAATTAATGAATATTTATTTGCCAAGAGCACTAAGTCACACTGAAGCTAAGCGATCAAACTATTTTTTTAAAAAACTCTTATTGCCTATATTCATGATGTTATGGATTTGACCACATGATTAATTTGTCTAGACTTTCTTCTGATGTGTTGAACTTCTTCTACCAATTTATTCCCAGTAGCTTTTTGAGTTTTTTTTTGCTGGTATATTTTTTGCTAGTTGAAGGCCCATGTGGACACTGCTTTCTAAGTTTTGATGGTTCTGTTGCAGCAATTGCTTTGATCCAACCCCACTTTTTTGACGGTTCAGAGATTTTCAATGAAAAAAACGAACTATTAGCATTTATCTATGATGTTTCTTCTCCTCAACAATTACAAAAACTCCAACCAGATGATGATAATTCGGATACTGTGGTCATAAATTTCTCAGGCGAATGGCAGGTTTGCGCACTTTCATAGCCTGCATTGATCAAAGTCTCACTCATTCGAGGTCACTAACCATGTTGTCATAGAAACAGTTTTCCTACTATTTAATATTTATATTGTGTACACTTATGGCACAGCTATTCAATGCTATTACTTTGCATCACTCTATTCTTTTGTTGCCTACTTCTCTCGACATACAGGGAGGAAATTATTGTTAAGGATTTTTGTTTCTATTGATTATTGTTTGTACTAGTTTTTCTCCTTTAGAGTCTTTTCTATCAGTGCATTTCGTAGTACTCATTTGTTTTAGTTTTGTAAGCAACTTATCATCACAAGAGAGACTGGCATCCTGTTTCTTCACCAATCCCCTCCACTCTTTGTTCCAGGTTTCTTCCTCAGTCTGAAACATTAGCAGTTCAAGAAACTTCATAATGCTTCTTTGGCATGGGAATGTCAAAAGATCATGATAGCACTCGTTCATTGCTCTTTTTGGATTACATGGAAAATGCAACTTTAGCAATTCATCTAGTAAAACTTCAAAAGTTTTCTTAGTTGATTGGACATTGGATTAAGTATTCTTCTTATTATGAAACAACTGCATACATACACAAAACATAATACTTGCAGATGTATAAGATGTCTATAATCTATATATCAAGCTTTTATGAGATGTATGCATTGGAGTTTTCTTGGCACCTAAACACCTGAAAGACCATATTGATGTTTTTCTGTGTCAAATATTAATCCATTTTCTAATCACAGTATAGACATAGTGGGCGAATATCAGAACACAAACTCACGAGTTTCAGAGATCATGTTGACTTCTTTACCCATTTCTTTCCCAGTTATATCATGAATTAAATGATTATTCCTCTTTCATCTTGCTCTCTTTTTAAGTTCTTGGGTTGATTTTATAAACCCCCCCTCGATTATGGGGGATGTCTTAGAAAACCCCCCTCAACTATCTTAATTCTATGAAACCCTCCACAATTTTGATTGTGTTGTAAATAACCCCCTTCAACTTTCAAACTTAGACATAACCCCGTCAACTTTTCTCACTTAACCTCCCAACTAATAGCATTAAATCAAACGGAACATGTGACAACCACGTGATTTAAAATGGCCATACTATCTGTTTGTGCTAAAAATACTGCACTGTATTCCCCCGGGGCCCTCCAGAACCATTGCTAGATTCGAACCTGTATGCCCTGACACGGCAATTTTGGCGCCGTACCCGTGTCGGGTACGGTTTGGGTACGTTTTCGCACCCAAACGGAGGGGACACGAGAGCAAATAAGCTCGGAGATCGAAGACGAGGTCGGGAAGCGTCGACGAGCGTCGGGAAAGCTTCGATGAGGTCGGGGAAGCGTCGACGAGGGTCGGGGAAGTTTCGGGGAAGCTTCGACGGGGTCGGGGAAGCTTCAACGAGGGTCGGGGAAGCTTCAACGAGGGTCGGGGAAGCGTCGACGAGGTCGGGGAAGCTTCGAAGGGGAACAGAGTTTCGATAACACGATATTCTCGTGGCGTCGTTAGGAGAGAAATGGGTCTAGGGTTTTCAGTTAAATAGGGTTTGGGTTTAAGCACCCGTTTTAATTCAATTAAATAAGGTTTGGGTTTGGGTTTAAGCACCCATTTTGATTCAATTAAATAGGGTTTGGGTTTGTTTATTTTTAGCACCCATTTCAATAACATAGTTATAATTTTAAGGAATGAGCTTATTTCTCAATTTGAAATTAAACATAGTAAAATTGTTATAGTTAATATAATTGATATATATATATATATATATATGAGCTGTGTCCCCGTACCCTACTTTTTTACAAATTTGCCGTGTCCCGTACCCGTACCTATGCAACCTTGATTCGAACACATTTTTTTCTTTTTTTAACTGGTCACTTCTTTTTGTACTTAGTCATACTTCTACCATCTTTCTTCCCTTCTACACCGCTCAATAAAGAAACGCTCCAGGGAGACTTCATCCTCAGCCAAGATAGCTCTCCAATGACAAAAAGAACTTGGCTTTAACTTCTTTGGAGCTGATTTCACCAAAAGAACCTATAACACCCTAAAATTGAGAGGAGGGGGAGGGTGACGGGGGGGGGGGGGGGGGTTCTCTAAAATCAGAGCCGCTAAGTTCTTTATATGACCTGATTAAAGGTTATGATGTTTTCTTTTATAATTTGCATCATGTATGCGCCACAAGAATCTGTTTCAAATAATTTTTAAGAGAAGTTTATATTCATCTTTCTGCCTATTCATTTGGATTCATTTTTCTTTATTTCTCAGGTAATACCTGCAGAAAATATTGTCGCAGCATTCCAAGGCTCTAAGAAAACTGTACTAGCAGTTTCAACCTCTTCATCAGAAGCACAAGTTTTCATTGAGGCAATTACAATATACTTTTAACTCAGAATCTTCTTGAGTATGATTTTGCTTAGTGAATCTTTTTAAGCTTGACTTAATATTAAGTGATTATAGGCATTGGAGAAAGGTCTTGACGGAGTTGTTCTGAAAGTCGAGGAAATTGAAGAGATTCTCAAATTAAAGGTAGATATTATCAAAAGTTTTTATTCTTTTTTTTTCATTTGATCATAATATTTAAGCTGTTAACTTGTTATTAAGAATTTCTTTCTGATATCAGGATTATTTTGAGAGAAGAAGTGAAGTAAGAAATCATTTAAGCTTAACTAGAGCAACAGTAACAAGGGTTGAAGCAGTCGGAATGGGTGATAGAGTATGTGTTGATCTTTGCAGTCTCATGAGACCGGGTGAAGGTCTTCTGGTTTGTCTTTTATCCTTTCGGTTAGTTGTGATTTCTTCCTATCACATCATTAAGAAATGCTAAATGGGATAATGAAAAATTAGACCATCCTATTTTCTATGTATTGTAGAATTTTATATTTATATTAAAGTCAATCACTTGAAAGTGTAAAAATAGATGCATTACACTCCTTATGGAGGAAAAGTATTTAAATTTTGAAATAGCAATTGTTTATCAGACCTCATAAATGAGCATACTGATCATAAACAATGTACACATTTTCATTTGTTAATTATCACTCACTTTGATCTAGAATAAAAGTAATGTATGGATGTCTTTAGAACAGTGCTGTAAAACTAATATGAGAATGGCTGCTGAGGCAACTGAGACTAAGAATTGATTTTTGATAATAAATATGAGAATAAGTATCATGAAAACTATAGCTACCTACATGAGAGGATATAAATGTTATAAAGAAGCTAATAACCTGAGGAATGGTGGACTACAATGGTTCACAGCTGATTAATAAGTTTTAGGGTCTTGTGATTGTTATTACTTTTTTACTACCAAAAGCGGGAGTAATATCTCCTGATCCCACAAAGTGTCGATAAAGAATCAGAACATACTCGTGAATAGTCACTATTCCTGACATCAGTTCTCCTTGATATATTTTTCAGACTTACGAATCTTATGGCATTATGCAAACGAACAGGTTGGCTCCTTTGCTAGAGGCCTTTTCCTGGTTCATTCGGAGTGCTTGGAATCAAAATACATTGCTAGCAGGCCTTTTAGGGTCAATGCGGTAAGTTGTTTTTTGTTTCATATCCTGTGTCCATTTCCTGTTATTTCTCTATACTGGTTATTTGAAATTTTTTAAGGGAGTAAATTTCACAAGCCCTCTGAAGTTTGGAGTGATTTGCACAAAACCCCCCCCCACCCCCCCCCCCCCTCCAAAAAAAAACCCAAAAATAACGTTATATCATAGAAACCCCCCCTGAAACTGTCAGAATTATACTCGACCTTCTGAACTAATGGAAAATTTCATAAATGGTGTTAGCATAGAAGTATACTAGTGTGCACCCCGTGCAAAGCACGATCTCCATTTTTTTATTTCTGCTACAGTAATTCTATATTTAAATACAGTTTCTGTAAGTACTACTGTAACATTTTTAAATACTACAGGACCCAGCTTGATCTACAATAATAATGCTACAGTAATGTTTTACCGCTGAATCCCTGCATGTTCTACAGTAATAAGGGTACAGTACTCCATGTAGTATGAACAGCGAATCCTGGTCCCCCTACCTGTGCTACAGTAACAAATGCTACATTGATTTATTATAGCATGAATAGTGAATCTTGGATCCTCCCATTATTATAGAGGAATAGATAAAAGCAAAAATTTCGACAGCATGTCATGTGCAAAGCGCATCAGGTCAACGTAAACTGTGGTTGGTCAAGGTACTATAATGAAACATTATAGGGGACTTTATCTAATCTATGAAGTTTAGTAAGTTTTTGAGCAAAACACCCCAAAATTTAGGGGCTTTTGTGAAATTTATCCAACTTTTTTGTTTCTTATTTTGTCTTTTCGTTTGGGGCACAACTGCAGGGGCCGGTGCATGCTTATGTTGCAGTTCCAGGGGGAAGGACTTGCTACCTTTCTGAGCTGAAGGCAGGTAAAGAGGTCATAGTTGTTGACCAAAGAGGCTTTCAACGTACGGCTGTTGTGGGTCGTATCAAAATAGAATCAAGACAGCTGATTCTTGTTGAGGCAAAGGTTTTGCTCTATTTATCTCACTTTTGTCAATTGAATAATGAAACTATTTAAATCTTAGAGAAGGCTTAAATGCATGATCTTCTCATACTTAATTGATCATAATTGAGTTTTGTACCATATTTCATGAGTTCTGCATTTGTTAAGGTTCAAGAGAACAAGTCCTAATTTGCCTATGAGAAATAGATATGTTTGTTTTTTCTTCGAACAACTATTATTTAATTTTAGCGTGGATGACAATGTTCATGTTAAGTAAATGATCTCCTGACATGGTTACCATTTCAAATAAATGAAACCATTCTATCAAATTATAACTGTATAGGATGCTGACTAGCTGGTGTTCATGGGTTTTTGCATTGCCACCTCAAACATTTGAAAATGAGCCTAAGCACAAGTTTATGAGCGCTGCATTATATGTTGCCTCATTCTTTACATATTTGCAGGACCTTAACGAAAATATTTACAGCATCTTTCTACAAAACGCAGAAACCGTTGGTCTAATTTGCCCTCTTGAAGGTACTTCTTATATAATCTTAACATATTCTCTTGCTTTCTCTTTTCATTACGAATTTCATTATCTCTTTGGAGATAAAGCTACAAAGACAACAATTCCTTCTCTTGCTTTCTCTTTTGTTTATGAATTTCATTATCGCTCAGGAGATAAAGCAACAAAGACTTCAATTCCTGTAACTTCACTAAAGGTCAGAGACGAGGTTCTGTTGAGATTACAGGGTGGTGCTCGACATACTGGAATTGAGATCCAAGAGTTCATTGTTGAGAAATAGATAGCATATATGCATTGAAAATCTACAATGCTCGGGTATAATGGGATTTTTTTTACATGGTTATTGTTCTTATGGGTAATTCCGTTGCATTTATCAAGCAAGGTCAAGTATTGCTGCTGTTATATTTGTTTGCTGAGGAAAGAGATGGATGCAATTGTATCAATTTTGTTCATGTTATAGTTTAGTTTTTCGAGGTTTAATGTTTTTTTGCCATATTCGATGGTTTTGAATGCAGATAGAGGGGTGACTTTTGTGCTTATGCCGGCGTGATGAAACAAAATTTGAATCACAGGTTAAGCATGTATTAGGCATTGTGAGATTTAGTTAATTGCACATAGACCCTCTGCAATATTGCTGTTTTTGACTTACTACCCCTGTCGTTTCATTGTTGCAGATAGACCCTCTTGATTTATACTTTTTTGACTCTTTTACCCTGGGAGAAAATTTGACAGGTATTTTCCTTGGGTGAAATTAGTGGGGTTTAATCGCATAATGCCTAATACCCTGAAGAAGTTATGGGTGATTCTGGCGCACCTATCAAACAAATAAAGGTCTAGTATTCGTGTTGTAGCTTTGTGAATGACTGCAACCAATTTTTTATGATTAATTGCAGATAGACACCTTGTAATATTGCCCAATTGCAGATAAAACCCTGTAGCTCTTTTATTGCACAGACTCCAAGAGTGACCACCCTCAACAAATAGACCTCCTCAGGGCTAAGGGCAGACGAGTAATATATATATATATACCAGTCATACCTATATTTCTCATATATATATATATATATATATATATATACACCAGCAGGTCCGTCAGAGGCCCCCTGCAACAATTTTTTTAATGAACATACTACCAGTTTCCTGCCAATTTTATCTAATGAGCATCCTTCCAGTTTCCTACGACTATAATTGAAACATGTCTCGGCATCAAATCAGACTTCAATAAGCACTTTGCCACTTTACACAATCAAGCAGAGCTGGGGAGGTAAAAAAAAAAAAACTTTATCCAATGATCCACATCAAAAACAAAACCACAGAAGAAACACTTATGACTCATCAATCATTTCCATGAAATAGGCCATTACATCAACACTTCTCGCATGAGATAACAAAAAAAAAAAAAAAAACTAAAACCCAATATTTACAATGCGACATCCTTATCTCACCCTCGGGGACTTTCTATTGGATGCCATAGGAGACCCGTTACCCATTCCTCTCCTCGGCGAATTTACGTACCCGATTGGTGATTTTGAACCCGGACCCGGATCCAACACCATTCCTCCGCTTCTACCTGTTTGCTTCATCATCTCTTTAGAGTCTTGTAGTGGCTCAAGAGCAGCTAAGACTTCAGACATTTTAGGCCTGAGCTTGGCTTCATTGCTTATGCACTGCAGTGCTAGTGTGGCGACAGTATGGGTCGCTTTTTTCGGGTATTGGGCCTCCAATCTTGAATCCATTATCCGATACAGTTTTCGTTTGTCTCCAAGAAAATGCCTGGCCCAATCTACTAGGTTCTGTTCGATGCCGATCTTGTTTTTGTCGAAGGCTCGGCGTCCTGAGAGTAGTTCTAGAAGGACGACGCCGAAGCTGTAGACATCGGCTTTAGCAGAAAGACGGCCTGAAATGGTTGAAAATATTAGAACTAGGGGTTTTCCATACAAGTTACTTGTACTATTAACAAATACTTCAATGCTTGGGGGAAAAGGAGCGTATTCAAATGGTTAAGATTATTTGTTTAATTTGCAAGTGATAACCCCATCTTTTGTTCCGTGCGTTTCATGCTTCACAGTCAGTCAGCAGCTGTTTGATTCCGCGTGGAATATTCAAGAATACTAATGTCAAAACACTTAAAAAGGTTTCGGGAACCAATTTCCAAATATGAGGATTCGGGCACTAATTTTACAACACTCAAAACTATTTGAGGGGCTGACTACATAATATGAAGAATCGGGGGACTAAGTTCGAAATACGAAAGATTTGGGGGACTGATACTGAAAATACCCTTATTTATATACCAATTATTTGAGTTAATAAATATTATTTTTCAATATAAATTTCCTCAAATGTTCTCCAATTTCTATCTGAACTCTTCCTGAAAGCCTTTTTCTAAACAATAATTACTTTTTTTTTTCCTTCTTTTATAAAATGGATAAGTTTATTAACCCTATGATTGTAACTTTACAATTCGCCGGAAGTGTTTGTCCGGGGGCTAGATTTTTTGACTTTTAGTGCAGGAACTCAGATCGTAATGCAAACCTTAAACTCAGAGACTAATGCAAAACTTTAGTTGCTTCTATTAAGGGACTGAGAATACAGCTAATGAAGCAACCTGTGTGCGTATTATTTTGACCTGCATATAGTAACATAAGCCTTGTGCACAAAAAAAGAAGGCCTCGTTCCTTAGGAAGTCGATAACAAATATAATATATAAACTTACAACTTTAGACTTTACAACTTTTATACTTTTGGATCTTAATATGTGCATACTAATTACCTTATCGCTTCTCTCATATAATACTAAACATTGAGGATTAGAGTGCCCATCTCCACAATCTGACATCTGTAAGTCCTAAATTTCTGTGCATTTGTTATTATGTTTCAGAAACATTTGAGTTACCACGTTGATATAGAGAAGCATGCAAATAAAAAACTATCTACAATGATCTTAATATACGTTTGTTTCCTTCTTCTTCTTCTTTTTGTTTGGGGGGGTGGGGTGGGGTGGAGCAGCATAACCATGAGTTCCCATGACTTGTGTGGAGACATGAGTATTATCCCCAGTAGGGCCAGCCTTGGCCAATCCAAAGTCTGAAAGCTTCGTATTAAATTCCTACATTCAAACAAATTAAAAGTTAAAAACACTAAAAAGATGAATAAACGAAAAATCCTTATTCTTCAAAACTTAAAAAGCAATTGGCATCAGTACCGAATCCAAGAGAATGTTTGAGGCCTTCACATCTCGATAAATAACTTGGGACTCTCTATCGTGCAAAAATGCAAATCCTCTTGCAGCTCCAACTGCTACTTTAATCCTTATGGCCCAAGAAAGTGGCTGCGAACTTCCTAATAAAACCAATAATAAGAGCTTTAGTTAGACTAACACGAAATGTTGTTTCCTCTTAAAAATGGAACTGTGTCTTTATGCCCCAAAGTTATTGTGAAGCATTAATGCATGATTAATCAAGGAGCGTAAGCGTAAGCAATAACTCCCTGGTTATTATAGGTTTTTTTTTATATATAAAGCTTTGGGAAAATAATGCCCCCTTAGAATCAACAAATCATTAACTTTGTCAGATTTGGTGAGTAACTAGTTGACTTTTTTGAGATATTTTTACATTGCAGTTACGAATTAACCTATCAAAGTTGATGATTTGTTGATTTGGGGTTACTTTTTTCCTAAGTTGATTTGGGGGTAGTCTTGGAAATACTGAGATTTGGAGGGTAGTTTTGCAAGCACACATGATTTAAGGGGTAAATGTACAAAAAATTCTATTATTATTTAATACCAACGACATACTTTTCATTACATAGTAGTTTTAAGAGATGGACATATTCATTATAAAAACTCCTAACTTTCAGAGTATTGGATGATCACATAGTGTGCTCAAACTACAAGGAAAAATGTTTTAGTTGTCTAATGCGAAGTGCCTCTTGCCACAATTATATTGATCAGGATTCTAGAATGCATAAAAATGTTCATAGAATAAATATTCATGAAACAAAAGTAGCTAACTATTTACTACTCACTTCTAAAAAGATGATTCTCCAAACTTCCTTTAGGCATGAATTCATAAACCAAAAGGCGGTGGTCACCATCTGAACAGTAGCCAATGAGCTTCACTAAATTTGGATGGTGAAGCTGGCCAAGATACTCAACCTCTGTCTGCAATAATTTGTTTTAAAGAAGGAAACTACATGTTACTTCAAAACTACAGAGAGGATAACCAAAAGAAATAAAAATATAGGGTTAACTCTAGAATCTAGATACGCCCCATATACTACGAGGGTGTAGCGACATATACCCCTAAACTATTTTAGTAGCACTTACAACTCATTAACACCACATGAGATTATTTCCCAAATTAGCATGTGAAATTACCTTTTTCCCGCAATTTAGCTGGGAAAAAAATACTACATTGCCATATGAGAATCTGGGGGTGTAAGTGCTAATAAAAAGGTTTAGTAGGGGGTATCAGCGGCAATACCACCATAGCACATGGGGTGTATCCACAATTAGCCATAAAATTTAGGGTTGATTTCGGATAGACCCACTGTCCCGTCACCCACTTGCAGATAGATCCTCTCAGTCCACTTGTTGTAGATAGACCCCCCGAGTGAAATTGTTCTTTAACTCTTTCACCCTCAGATGGTCTATTTATCCAAAAACAACTCAACAACTCCCCTCCTTCCCTCCCTCTCTGAGGTTTAAAAAGTCAAAAAAAAATTACTCTGATGGTCTATCTGCAACAATAAAACTAAAGGGATCTGCCCACAATTAACTATAAAAAATGTATAGGCAGTTAAGGGGGAAAAAAATACCAGCCACTCCTTATGACCCTGAAAACCTTCTGGTTTCAGCTTCTTGATAGCAACGACCATGCCATAGCCAGGCTTTGAAGGAGCAAAACTTTGTTCATCGATCCAACCTTTATAAACACACCCAAATCCTCCTTCACCCAAAAGGCTATCAGGCCTGAAATTTCTCGTGGCACTTTTGAGTTCACTGAATGTGAATGCCTTCAAATTTGAGGATGATAGAATTTCTCCTTCGGTTCTCGGTGTTGGAAGAACCTCGATGCTTCTCTCAGTATAAGAGGGTATGGTTACAGTAGATGGAGTTGAGAATGTTTGAGTTGATGGGAATGATGACAAACTTGATCTGCTGGTGACTTTCGAAGGACCTTTCATCGACAAAAGGGTAAAAGACAATATGAGAACCTTTCATAAGCTTCTAATAGCTTACATTTGACATGTCTTAAGAGGTAAATTTTCAACTGATGCCTCATCACTATAACATAATTTGGATAAAATCTATCTACTATGACAATGTTTGTAAATAGAAATAGGGTTAATTGTGAGAACCTTGTAGTTCTATTGTTGCGGATAGACCCCCTGAAAGAATTTTTTTCGACTATTTTACCCTCAGACAGAGAAAAATATTTTTTGACAAATAGACATCTTCACCATGAAAGAGAAAGAAATTCACTAAAGGGTCTATCCACACTTGGGCTATAGTACAAAAGGTCTCTCCTCAATTAATCCATAGGAATATGCAACTTCACAAGCTAATAAGGGAAAAATTGAAAAGTATAATTTCCACTGTTTACAAACTTATTTTGCAGGAAATAAATATATCCGAAGAGGTAAATTTGGATGAGTAGAAGCAAGCTTAATGGCTGTGCTAAGATCCCTCACGCTGCTCGGGTACTATTTGGTGCAAAGCCAAAGGTCAATATAAAGTCAATAAACCTTCTAGAATTAGCATTATGTTCCAATCTCAATTCAATGAAGAAGGCGTTGTCAACTACAATGATCAATGCTTAGCAACTAGAATTTGGCTCTTCACCATAAATTAGCAACAACTTCATACACATCAGGAGTTGAATTTTCAGCTTAAGTTCATAGTTGAAAACAAATTCTTGGATGCCGAGTGTTCGATGTGCTAGTGACTGAGGTTGATTTTGAATTAAGAATTAATGCCCTGTTTGTACTCGTTTCTTAAATATTGTTTATGGATGGAGCAACTCCATTCTATCATCTCGAAGAAAAACGAAATAGAGAAAAGGAATTGGTTCCTTCTATGAAATGGTTAGGTTGCTGATTAGCACATGAATCGTGATCTTTGGATTATTTACCGATTAACAACATGCAATCTTACATAAAATTAGCACCACGACATCAAAGCTCCTACCGTCAAGTTTAAAATCAAGAGCTAATCTACCAGACCCCCTTGACAGAAACAGCAACTCTCAATTTCTACTCAATTTATACTCGAGCATCGGTATAAATAAAAACAAACTCATCGAGGTGCAGAATACAAATGCCACCATTATCAGTCCCCTCTCCAGACTGCTATTTGCTAGTAGTAGTAAATTGAACACTTGATTCAGGAACTTTCCTGATATTCAACAGAACCCCTAACCCATGACTTTAATAATTAAAAAAAAATCTGATCTCATAGGTAGACAAAAGTTAACTTTTTACCAAATCCACAAACTTAATTAATTTCACGAGGAAGATGCAAAGTCTAAGCAATTAAACCGTTGACAGACTGAGAAATCATTTCCATCATGCAAACAAGCATCAAACTTCATAACTGAAACTAAGAGCTAGACATCCATCTAAAGTAAAACCTAAAAGAAATTTTCTATTCACATAAACTTAACCATTTAAAGCCAAACATCAAGCTTAAAGATGCAAAATTTCCAAATCCAAGATTTTTACAAACTGAGATTAAAGATGCAAAATTTCCAAATCCAAGAAAACAGAGAGAGAGAGAGAGAGAGAGAGAGAGAGAGAGGGAGAGAGAGAGAGAGAGACTAAAAGCTGCCATTTCTGTATATGGGTCAGCTTAAATCCAGCATCTGATCACATATAACACATAAATATATCCAATCACTTTATCAGCTCCCAACAACAAAAAGACAGAACTGATTACTCCAAGAAGCAACCAAATCATAAAAAGACTGCACTTTAAAGCAAAATATAAAAAAAAAACCCCGAAAAAGAGAGAAGAGAAAGAGACTGACCAGAAGCATGCTGAGAGCTCTGAGCACTCTGAACTCTTGAAGAAGTAATCAGACAATTACCCATCAAAAATACCTAAATGGGTGTCCAACGAAAAAAATCCAATCTTTTCTCCAAATAACTAACTCTTATAAACTCATTAAGGATACATGAAGGAAAACAAGAGATGTGTAGCCAAAAAAATCCAATTTTTTCCTCAAAGAACTTCTCTTTTCCCCTCTCAACTCTGGATTCCCAAAGTTTTGAGAAGGAAGAAGGTCATAATGAGGGAGGTTGCTCCCAATGGAAAAGACAACGAAGTCAGAAGGAGAGAAACAAGCTTCCTATGCCCAAAATACCCCTCGTTTTTATCCGAGCCAGTCAACGCGGATCTGTGTACTCTTCTCTCTCTAGGTGTCGTGTTTTCGTTTTCTTTAGGATTAGGGCCTGTTCGTTTATTTCCTAAAAACCAAGAAATGGAAATGGAAAAGGTGGAAATCTCAAAATAATCCATTTCTTTTATTTCCATCCCTAAAACTCACCCACAACATCCAATAAAATATTATTTTCATCCAACAACTCATCCACATCATCTAATAAAATATTATTTTCATCTAACCACTCATCCACCACATCTAATAAAATATTATTTTCATCTAACAACTCATCCACCACATCTAATAAAATATTATTTTCATCTAACAACTCATCCATCACATCTAATAAAATATTATTTTCATCCAAACATCACTCAACTCATCTCTTTTCATCATTTCAAATCACTCACATCATCGAATAAAATATTATAACAATTCACCTCATCTCATTAACATTTCATTTCTTTGTTTTCATCCCAAAAAGTTGTGAAAACACTTTTCTTAATCTTTCTTCACATCACCCAATAATACAATGACAACTCATCTCATCTCATTTCATTTCTTATTTTTAAGAATGAACCAAACAAAAGAAAACAACAAAACTACAGGAAATATGTTTCTTATAATTCATTTCCTTATTTTTTTGGCCAACCGAACAACATCAAAACTAGTTTTCTTAAAAAATCACTCACATCATCCAATAATAATGTGACAACTCATCTCATCTCATCTCCATTTCTTTGATTTCCCTTTTTTTTTAGCCAACCAACAATTCAAAAACCCATTTTTCTTAGAAATAGTTTTCTATTTCTTTGATTTCCCATTTTTTTAAGGCAAACGAACAGGCCCTTAGAGAGGCACTAGAGGCTACCTCTCCACCACATCTCTTACCACACCTTCCCTTCTACAGTGCATCGGGGCCCACTTGAGATTTAAAATTTAATTCTCAAGTGGGCCCTGGTGTACTGTAGCAAGAGGGGAGGTGTGGTGGAAAGTGTGTCTCTATCGTTCCTCTTAGGATTATTCGTTAGAACATTTGGTGGAATAATGGAATAAATCTGGGGATTCTATTTTATAGTGTTATTCATTGGGATAATAGAACAAATATAATATTTTTTTATGTTATTGGTTTTTAGAACACTAGTAAAATAATTTTACCACTTAGGATAAAATTACCCTACTCACATACAAAAATGTTGTCCTAATTGTAAAAATTTACATCATCCTCCATATTAGAACAATTTTGTTCCACTTTGAAGACAATAAAGATAATTTTTAAACCTTTTTGTATTACTTAAACTAATACATACTAATTATATTATAAATATATGACATGATATATAAAGTATAAAGTAATAATATATTCAATATATTATATTATATTATCATGTAATAAAATAAAATATTATTATATTTAATTTATATATATAATTTATTTTATGATATTTATTATATATTATTATGCAATATTACATACTATATTATATAATAATACAACATATTTATTATAATATTATATAATATTTTAATAATATATATTATTATATAATATTAATTAGTAATTATAGTATAACATACTATATTTTTATATAAATAACATATATTATTATATAATATTTTAATAACATATATTAATATCTTAATAACATATATTAATATATTAATAACATATATTAATAATATTATATAATATAATTGTTAGGTCTTATGTTTATGAGTCTACTCCCTAATCTTGTTTTGATGATCACAAACAATTCTTAACAATACGTGTAGAGTGTTTGTATTTGTTTTGTTAGGTAATCTATAGTAATTATAGTATAACATATTTATTATAATATTTTAATAAACATATATTATTATATAATATATTATATAAATATTATTATAGTTATTATATATATAAAGTAAAATATTATAATATTTTATACACTACATTATATCCTATGATACTATTGTTATGGTAATTTACCATCTAAAGATGAAGATACCGAAAGATTGTCTGCATAAGCTTAAAAAAGCCATGGTCCAAACCAGCTTAGAGGCCCAAAAGCCCAGCTAATAGCAAGTCTATTGGTCAGCCGAGTAGACAAGTCATTTTTTGACCAAGGGTCATTGACTCAAAGTGCGGGGTCAATCGGTCCCTCATAGTTAAGACGACTCATCGAGCAGACGTCTCGACCATACACTCGATCCGAAGCTCACTCAACTGTCGGGTTGGAAAATCACAATGACAACTCACGAACCGACCCGCCTCTACTAAGGGGATGAGATCCATCTAAGCTCGCTTCAGACGTCAATCGACACTACAGTATTGATCAGTCCCATCAAGATCTCCGCTCTGACAAATCCGTGCATAAGCCGTTTATTCTACTCACAAGTCATTTCCCAGGGATCACCATGATGCTTTCCTGGGCTCGAATGACTTCCCCTCCAATCATCAGTCACCATCTGGAGGGGGAAGGACGACCAAGCAACTGACATATCCTTTGTCCTGCCTCATCTGTCAAATCCAGGATATTGAGAAGATATTTCTCTCCTGCACTCGAATGACTTCCCTTCCAATCGCCAGCCGACATCTGGAAGGAGAATGATGACTCAGGAGCCAGCCTGCTCACCCCTCAATCGCCTCATGTGCATAGTCAAAGCCAAAGGGTCAAACTCTCAGAGGCGATGTGCTATAAAAGGAGGGAAAGAAGGTAAAAGAGGGTGGATTTTTTCTGCTACTTCTTCACAAAAGATATGAATTTACCTTTGCTAAAAAGAACTAATAACTCTCAAAGAGTACCCTCTAAGGACCTCAATGGCCCAGGGACTCTCCCTCAAACCCCACTCAAGCTCACCAGCTGACTTGGCCGTCGGAGGTACCACGGGGGAAATGAGCCCCGCCCTCCCACGGGTTTCTTCTTGTTTGTGTGCAGAAGGATTAGGAATTCCAGTCTAAGGATCGGGTAAAAAGTCGGAGGAGGAGTCGGCCCCATCTCTCATCCTCTCCCTATTCGTCGCTAGCGCGAAGACCAGAACCGCAACCCCCTCGACTGTGTGATATCAAACATCAACAACTATATTATAATATATTAAGTTAAATTATATATTATTAAAGTATTACATTAAATATATTGTTTATAGATTATATCAATTATTATATAATGTGGATACTAATATAATGTAATATAATATAATAATTAATAATATTAATTAGTAATTATAGTATAACATATTATATTTTTGTATAAATAAAATAATATATTATATTAAATATTATAGTATAGCATGCTAATATAATATAATATAATATAATATAATATACCAATTAATAATATTAATTAATAATTATATTACAACATATTATATTTTAATATAAAGTAAAATAATGTTTATATTATAATAATATACTAAACTAATTGGATAAGTTAATTTAGAAGTAATTAATAAATAAAATTATATTTTAATAAGGTATCACATCATTAATTATCCCACATGAATTGTTAAATCAAAGGCTCAAATTGTCTCATTATCCCACTTTATCCCACTTTGCTCTACTCAAAATATCCTAAAGGGATAAAATTATTTCATTGGAATAATTTTCCCACTTGGCCCCAATTTGTCCTAACCAATAACCCACTTATAGAATAACACACTTAAATATTCTCTTGTATATTGCATCAAAATATTTTAAATTTTAAATTCTATACTTAAATACTTTAAAGTTATTAAAAATTGCATTTTGATATTCTAAAGTTTTTGGTGCAATACAAACGTGAGAATTTTGCCTTGAAAAATCTTACGTGACACTCACATGTGGGGCTCAGCATGGTTCGGTCCAAACCGAAAAACCGACCGAACCGACCCGAACCGACAAAAAAAATTGGTTTTATGAGTAGGGCGGTTCGGATCGGTTTGAAAACTTTTCAACCCGACCCAACCCGAACCGACCGAATATAGTGCAATACTACCCATTCTGATCTCAAACCCTACTCGACCCGTCTCCAAAGAGTCAAAGACTCAAACCCTAAACTCATTTTCTGAATCGTTATGGGTCAAAAACAATATCATTATATTAATGTTTAATGCTTCATAATCTTCTACTTTGTTGATATCTTTTTTTTCTTTAACATAGTTTGTTGTTTGATAAGAAGTTTAATGAAGTTAGAACCGAACCGCACTGAACCGACTTGCAACAGTTCGGTTCGGTTTTGAATTATAGGCGGTTCTATTCGGTTGTTCAAATTTTGGTAAAAACCGAACCGAACCGATCGTTGCACACCCCTACTCACATGGACATTTTAATCCTAACATTTTATTAAATCATTGTTAAACCTATCAAATTTCTATCTTAGAATAGGATTTTTGACAAGTTTAACAATAGAGTTAAAAATTTAAGATTTAAAATATTCTAAAAAGTAACATGCTAGTATGGCATGGGATTTTTTGGACCGAAATTCTCATATTTGCATTGCATTGAAAACTTTAGAGTATTAAATTGTAAGTTTTAGATATATTAGAGTATTCTAAGAGGCTGTTTGGTTCGCTTTAAAAGCCCGTGGAAACGCTTTTCTTCACCTGACACCACCTCCACGTGGGATTTTTTGTTTCCACCATTTTATTTTCGCCGCTTTGTTTCGCTAGGGTTGAAGAGGGAAACCGAAGAAGAAAACACCACCAACTCGGGTTTTTTCTCTCCCCCATTTCCCTCCCCAACCAAGTGAAATCGACGAAAATCCTGGTCATGTTGGATTTTTTCTTCCTCGTTGATTTCTTTGGTGAGCTAGAGTTACCTCCTTGCTCTTCTCCCGCTAGAAACTCCCGCGGCATTCTTTGCACATATAGTTCATCAACATGCATAAATTATCAGATTTGATGTGATTTGCTATGTTATATACATATTTATGGCTATTTAGGTTGTTTATATGTTTTTATTGGTTTCAGAAGATTTTTTGGCTAATTCAGGTATGTACTACATAAATTTATGAATAATCAGGTTATTATAGATCTTGTTTATTTTTTTCTTGGAAAACATGTTTCGTGTGATTTTTTCAATCTCAAACAGGTATATTTCAAGTCAAATCAAGTACGTAGTTCATAGCAATTGATTCACTCCATTTCAGGTTTCGTATGATTTCATTAATACAATCAAAAATTTATAATTCATTCGGGATATTATTATTTGTTTATGTTACATTCGAACTTTTATATGATTAAGATTAACTCATATAACGAGCACAAATAAATTTGTATATAGTAGTGGTAATCTTACCATGGTGACCATAAACATTTTCCCCTACAAACTTCAAAACCAACCAAACACAAGAAAAATAGGAAATGTCAAATCAACAAAATTGTTTCCTTTTTTTCATGCAAACCAAACATAAGAAAAATAAATACATTGGTTTCCCACCATTTTTTATGTGCGAACCAAACCAAAACAATCTATTTCTTGAAAAAGTTTGGAAAACTCAAAACTTGTGTTTCTTTACATGAAATTGCATTTCCCTATATCTAGAAAACGAACCAAACATTCCCTAAGTGTAAAATTTTCAACTTTAGAGATCTTGCTGCAATTTCGGGCAAACAATAGAATATTTAAATGTAATTTACCCCCTGAATAATATGATTCCTTCGTGCTTTATAATAATTTGAGTTTGCAAGCTGGGGCATTTTATTATGCTCTTCAAAGAGGAATAAATATCAAAGTTGGTGACCCACTTTTCTCAGTCAATAGTCTATTTATCATTTATTTCACGTTCCAATCTAAGAAGTTAACTTGGAACCAAAATGTTAGACAATTAAAAGGAAGCACTACTCGAAATAGTCATCAAATTTCTCCATGATAATATGCTTATGTTGTCTACTCATGATTTTCTAAACCATAGACAAAAGAATTCTTGGTCAATTTTTATTCTTTCTACTTAATGATAAAGATGATTCATTAAACTTCTAATAAAGAAACAAATAACTTTGCTCCTCATCGTTTACCTCCAAAACAAACGTGGAACCAATTAGCATCCTGATATAGCTTTCCTCCGAGGAAAACACTACAGGCACACCCCCAACCACACATTGGGGCACACCCCTTCTCTCAGCTACAGTGCACGGGGCCCACTTTAGATTTTATAAAAAAAATCTAAAATGGGCCTCATGCATTGTAACTGAGAGAGGAGGTGTGATCCAAGGTGTGGTTGGGGGTGTGCCTGTAGTGTCACTCTTCCTCCGAAGAACTTGTGTCAGTTTAATATAAACATTTTCTAAAAAAAATAAATGATTAAGATTAACAATGATGACCTCACTCAATTCATAGCAACCATAGATTAGGCAACTAACTAGGTCAAATGAATTAAATTAACAAGAAATATAACACTATTATTGCAGTCCAAACTGTCTAAATTGAACTCTTCTATCTCTTGTTGTGTAGCGCAAAGTTTCTCTACTCATTGCTTGGAAAATCCACTTCTTCTCCATTTAGAAAATTAATTTTGAGCTAGCTTGACTTCAAAGAGTTGACATATTAGAGGAAGCTACAACCAATAATAGCTCACTATTTCTCTTGGACATAATCCACTGTTCGTTTCCAAGGATTCCTCAAAAATAACCTCAAATTCTTATCAGATTGGTTTATATAATTAATTAAATACAGCTAACAAACTTGTTAATTAAGTCAGTGCAATAAACTTTGCACCATGCCATAAGCAATTTTGTATTATACCACTAGACTATAGATACAGATTAACATGGAGAAGCAACAGTATATTAATAAAGACCTGTTGCAAGTTTAAGAACTTTTTTAATACTAAAAGACACATGCTTAATCCAATAGGATATATGGCCATATTGCAGGACAACAATCTAAAGGCGAGAAAGAATGATCTTAAATTTAGTTTCTCTAACTATTACACCAAAACTTCAAAGTTATGGTGAGGATCAATGATTATAGTTTTATATTAATTCTAACATGCCGCCGCATGTCGAGCGCCCTTTTTATGGGTCGAAACCTGGACTCACGTAACGGTGTTAATTTTTAGAAAATCCGTATTTAATTCATGGCCGGTGGGATTTGAACCTGGGTTGCTCTGATACCATCTTAAATTTAGTTTCTCTAACCATTACACCAAAACTCTAAAGTTATGGTGAAGATCAATGATTATAGTTTTATATTAATTCTAACAAACACCAATTATAAATAAGTGGAAGATTCCATATTATCTTGAAAAAAACCAGATTTGGATCCTCTTCGCTGCTATAAAGTAGGGAAGACACCGCTACTTTCATTATAATTGTCTATTATGAAACATATAGTAATTATTCACTTTAAATTTTATACTATATAATATCTCTCATATGTTCCTGTTTCCATTTAAGACTATCTCGATCATCATAATAATTGACGGTAATCAACATTTCAGTAACGGAGGGGGTCCAAATTTAAATAAAGCCACCAAATTGATGAGAAAATTCGTGATGATCCAATGTGTTATTTGTAAATATGTTATTATAACATACTTGAGATGAGTTTACACCTATTTTCACATGGCAAATTTAACATAGTTATGAATTGAGGCAACTTGTTGACCCAGTATTTTATTGACTATATCCAAAGAAAAAGCACATGGATATACTAACAGCAGGCCAAGCTTTCCAAACCAGCCATCCAAAGGACTCCGTGATTACAATTGATTATATTGCTAAAAAGCTGGTCAAGCAACAAATAACTCTCTCTCTCTCTCTCTCTCTCTCTCACAATATTCTCTTGTAATCCTAATGAGGTGTTTCTAGAAGAAGCTGTGAACCCTGAAGTTGATACAGTTTTGATAAATAAATAAAAAAAGGTTTCTCAAAATAAATAAATGTTGTTGACATAATTAAGATTTAGAAGATCATATGTTAGGTGATGGTCACAAATCTAAACTAATCACATACATTCTAGGCCGAAAGTATTTTATTGGAGACTAAGCATATGCTTTCACTTTGTCAACTATTAATCAACTTTGTGTTCAGATGTATTTGACATCTTTTTTTTGGTTCAGTGGTCTAAGACTATCTCCTTTGCTATTGAGTGAATTATTTTTCCATAGCCTTGTAAGTTGATAATTCTCACATTGCGGTTATAGATTAACTTATCAAAACTGATGATTAATTGTTTTCAGGGTAATTTTTTTTTGATGATTTAAGGGGTAAATTTGCAGATAATGAAATTTAGAGGGAATTTTTGCAAATACCCATGATTAAAGGAGTATATATACATGCAAGTAAACATATGCTAAAATTGTCCCTAGATTTATGAATTTTTGCCTGCAAAAGACCACCATAGATTCTAAGTTCAGGATGAATGAGCTTCACCTGATAATCCTTTGGGCATGTGAAATGGTTGGTGTCTTCAGATGCATAGTGGGGTTTGGACCTAATTCATTATGGCATTGAGGACCTTGTATAACCTTTGAGCACGCTGTGATTCTGTGTCCTAGGTGAAGTCATGTAACCCAAAAAAAAAAAAAAAAAAAGAACATTAAGAATCTCCCTGTGTGAAGTCCTTGGAGGCAAAGATCAGTCAAAAAGTGTTGAACACTTATCATCTGAAGGGAATATGTTTACACTTGATTACAAGTAATTTATAATATCCTAGGTTCATGCATTGGGCACTTGATCTCAGTTTTTATGATATTTTAACTATAAAGGGTATTCTAACTACTAAAAAGAGAAGCATGGATCATGATCTAAGGTTTAAAATATTTCTAGAGGTGCCACTTGGTAGAGCATTATAGCTGAAAAAACGATTGAGGAGGAAATCTTGTAGAGGATGTGTAGTGCTCTTGTATCTTAGGATCAAGGAAAAAAGATTTGGTTATCAGAACGCTAATGGCAAAAGTTGTTTGCTACATAAGCCAAACTCTAGTGTATAAAGGGCCACCATGCGCCCTCCGAGTGAGTTTCGTGCTGCAAGAATTACTTGTGACGAAGACCTTTAACACGATATCAGAGTAACACAGATTGCCTGCTACGTAATTAAAGCGGATTTTAAAAAGACGATAGCCCCGTCTGAGTGCAGATTTCAGCCTACGAAAAAGGTAGTTGCTCAGCCTGCACAGGAATGTTAGAGCAGAAATATGTATCCCTCAATCCTCACCATAACTACTAAAAAGAGAAGCATGGCAGTTTATGACAGCAAAGT